CTACTGAAATGAAACCAGTGCAGCCAGTGCTCCTGTCAGCTCCGGTGTCTGGTGCGGGGTCACCTCTGGACCCCTAGGGCGGAGGCTGCCCAGGGAGCAGGCAGATTCCCTTCACCCTCCGGATCCGGGCATTTGGAAGACCTGAGGGTGGAGGAGGGAAGTGGGGGAGCTCCTCACTCTGCTCCTGTTTTATCAACACCTAACTCCAGGGGGCGCGCTTGTGCTGGCCTGCGGTCACCCCTAAAAGGTTTCTCAACCGAATAAACCTTTCTTTTGCAAACAAATCGAAGACTGCTTTCGGCTCCCACAGAGGTCTCTCCCATTTCCTAAGTTCTCCTTGTAGCGGAATCCCGGGTGGTGTGCCTACCTCTTGCTGTTCTAGTTTAAAAGGAGGCTTGCAGGGGAGGGAGCCTGCAGCAATCTTGGCAGCAAAAGCTTGCTCAGGGGTAGATAGGCTTCTTGAAGAAGCACCAGAGGTCGGCCCCCAGTGGCCTGGGGCCCACCGCGGGTATTCCTTAGGCCAGGTGGCTCCCCAGAGAGCCCGGGCACCGCCCCACTCCCCAGACCCACCAGCTGCAGTGTTGCAGGGGCACAGGCTCAGGGCGAGATATGTGCTGCTTCCTTCTTCCTGACTTGTGGGCCCAGCTCTGGGGATGGGTCTTAGGGGGCAAGGGTGCCAGCCCCGACTCTGCTCACCAGTCATTGAGCCAGGGAATCTCTCTGCCTGGAGAAGGGGTTGTTGTTGTGCAGTCGCTAAGTCTTTGCAGGTACAACGGTCAGGTCTTCCCACCCACCCTCATGCTCCCTGACGCCTGAGCCCCTTCCCTGGGGAGAAGGGAGGGGCGCCCCTCCTGAGAACAGAGCTTCCCAAGGGAAAAGATGAGGGCCTGGGGTAGGAAGGAAGAAGGGCCTGGGAACCAGAAGGTTTACCTGCCCCTCTCAGCCTCAGTTTCTGTATCTGTAAAATGGCAGAAGACCTAGGCTTATAGTAAATAATAAATGGTGACATCCTGTAGGTTTGGCCAAGCCTATCTTGAGTGTGGAGGAGGCTGAAAACTCTTAGTCCCAGGAGGGACAGAGGCAGCTGGAATTGAGGGTACAGGTCCCTCAGTCCCTCCCTGCCTCAAAGACCTTTGCAATGCTTGGGGGCAGGATCGCAAGGCTGAGGGTCTTGGGGTAGGGGATGGGTGTCTTTGGCCAATGTCCCATGGTTAGTAAGGTTTAGTCAGAACCAGAAAGGGGCCCTGACCTTTGATTCCTAGTCGAACTCTCTTTCTCCTTGTTGCGTCTGGGCATGTGGCCTCCCTGGTTTCACCCACGGCACTGTCACCTCATACATCCCCACCATTCTGTTGGGACCCCAGGGGAGTTTGTTTAAAAGGCAAATTCCTGGGCCCTTCACCCAGAGGTCCTGACATCCTGGATCTCCATGAGTGTCCAGGAATCTTCATTTTAAACAAAACCCCAGGAGTGATGCTGAAATTAAAGCTCCAGTACTTTGGCGACCTGATGTAAAGAGACAACTCGTTGGAAAAGAACCTGATGCTGGGAAAGATTGAGGGCAGGAGAAGGGGGCGACAGAGCATGAGATGGTTAGATAGCATCTTTGACTCACTGGACATAAGTCTGAGAAAACTCCAGGAGACAGTGAAGCACAGGGAAGCCTGGCCTGCTGCAGCCCAAGGGGTCATAAAGAGTCAGACACGACTTAGCAACTGAACAACAAATAACAACCCAGATGTTGCTGAAGCAGGGGGTCCTTGCCAGCACTTTGAGGAACACTAGCTATCAATGGGTTAGTCAACCGGGGCGAGACCCATGGGGGGCGCTGTGAGGTGGGAGGGCAGCATGGCTTGATACCTGCAAAGGATGCTACAGGGGAAAAGCCCCTGGGTGGGGTGTTTCAGAGCTGGGTTCTTTCTCACTCCAGCTTTGACCCTGACTCAGAGCCACCAGTTCCAGGCCATTTCCCTTCTCCAGCAGGAGGCTGGCCCAGGAGGGGTTTCCCAAGCCCTTTCCACAGCTGCTTTTAGCTGTTCTGTTTCCACGGGCTGGGCTAGAAAGAAAAGGTTCCCTCAGTTGGCGGGGAGGGTGGGGGTTGCTGTGGATGGACCAGCAAGGAAGGCAGGCAGGAGGCAGGTGCTTCTGCTGTTCTGCTTGCCTGCCTGGCACGACTTTGGCCCAGGAGCCCATCAAGCCTCCATCCCTTCCTAGAGCACAGAGGCTGCGTGTATGCTGCCTGCCCCCCTCTGCCGCGGGTTCCTGGCTGAGTCTCAGCCTGGCCAGCTCCCTTCCTCCTCCCCCTCCTCCCCCCCTCTATCCCCCACCCCAGGCCACTGACTTTTCAGTAAGTGCTGCTTTGTTTATAAAGAAGCAGGATGATTCCCTTTTAATGAGGTTCTGAGAGTAGTCAAACCAAGAAGGGAAAGGGATAGTGGTTTCCAGGGGCTGCAGGACGGGGGAGACGGGGAATTAATATGTAATGGACACAGAGTTTCAGTTTGGGGTGATGAAAAAGTTCTGGAGGTGGATGATGGTGAAGGTTGCACAATAATGTGAATGTACTTTATGCCACAGAGTCTAAAATATGTGTGTGTGTGTGTGTGTGTGTGTGTATTTTACCACAATCTCAAAAGGAGCAGCAGAAGGAGAAATCCTATTTGGACCAGGCCCTGTTCCCCTCTGTGCTAGCCAGGACTTTTTGCTTTGGGAGCCTCAGAATTGTGTGTGGGGGGTGGATGTGGCTGGTGTATCCTTTCAGAGGAGACAAATGCTGAGTTTCAAAAAGTCAGCACAATTCGAGAGGGTGAAGAGCAACAGGAGACACTGGGATAGTGTCGGGTGTTCTCATGTAGCCTGAGTATACAACGCAGAGTCGGCGGCTTCTGGGTCCAAATACTGACTCACTGCCCAACGCCTGAGTGACTCTGGGCAGCTTCCTTAACCTCTCTGAGCATCAGCTTCCCCTTCTGTAAAATGGGAGTCATGTGTAAGGAGGGCCGGCCCAGGATTTGCAACCTACTGATACATCCCAGATGGCAAATGTTAGTCTCATATGGAACTGGAAGATGTGTATCTCCTAACCTATCTCTCCAGCGGAAGAGGAAATGGGCCCAGAGAGGGGGTTTGACTTGCCCACAGCCACACAACCAGTCCATTACTGAGCTGTGACCTCAAGATACCGGACCACCAACCCAGATCTCTCTGCACCCACTCGGAGCTGCGGTAGTTAAGTGAGAGGTCGGGAAACCACGTGGAAGGGACATCAGGCTGCCGTGTGTCCCTCCCTGTTCTCAAACATGGTGACATAACAGGCCGCCCCCAGCATCCCTCCTTCTCATCCCCTCATGGAAATCGGGATAGTCCTTCATGGGGAAGAGGTAGACTTTAGCAGCCAGTCGTTTTTGTGGCCTAAGTATGGGTAGAGATCCCTAGGCTTTCTGCAGCTTTTGCCAAGTTCAGGTGGCTGACCTTGTATTGAGTTGGCAAAAAAAATTCGGGTGGGTTTTCTGAACAAACTTTTGGGCCAACCCAATCCTATAGGCGTGTAGGAGAACGGACCCCACCTGAAGGGAATTGCTGTGAACTTCTCACCTTGGTTCAGGGAAGGACCTAAGACAATTATACCAGGGTCATACAAGACCAGGTTCTAAGTATCTTCTTTGGAGAAAAATGTACTCTTGGTGAGGAAGCCACCCCAGAAGGCAGAGGCATTGAAATGAGTTGTGGAAGGTTTTAAGGAATCAGTCAGGCATGCATTTATTCATCACTCACGTGGGTAATCACTCAGTCTCACTCTATGCCAGAGACTGGGATAAAGGAGAGAAATCAGACAGTGTCTCCTCATCCTTAATTGGGGCATCAAGCAGGCAGTCACCACAAGGTAAGATGAAGTCTGCGGGAGGGGACAGCAGTGATTGAGGTTTCCAAGGACTATAGGGACACCCAGGAAAGAGGCACCAAGCCTGGAGAAGGTAGAGAAGCTTCGTGGAGGTGATGTTTGAGTGGTTGGGAAGGTCCCCTGGAGAAGGGAAAGGCTACCCACTCCAGTATTCTAGCCTGGAGAATTCCATGGACTTTAATAGCCCATGGGGTGTCAGAGTCAGACACGACTGAGCAACTTTCACTTTCAGAAGGAGAAGAAAGTCTTTCCAAGTAGAAAAAGGGAAAGAGGCCCTGCTGGTTAGCACACAGGCCAAGATGCTCTAACAAGAAACCCCAAAATATGGGGGCTTAAACAAGGTGGGATTCATTTCTCTCTCGTGGAAGGACAAGTGGGACCAGCCGTTTAGGCTCACATGGTGATGTGGGGCTGGTGGGGACCCAGCAGTGCCTCCATCTTGTTGCCCAGCTCTCTCTAATTGAACACACCTCCCCACCACACCTACACGCCCATATGCTAGCCTTTGGGAAGAAGGAAACAGGAGGAAGAGACTAATCCCTTAAAGCTCACAACTGAGAGGTGGGACCCAGAGCTTCTCTGCACATAAGCCATTGGCCAGAACTTGCTCACTTGGCCACTCCAGATGCAAGGAAGGCTGGGAAATGTAGTCTTTTTCTGGGTGGCCATACTGAAATTACAATTATTGTATAAGGAAAAGAGAGAGATTGGGGGTGGGGGAGCAGTCTTTGCCACATGCAAAGACAAGGTACAGGAGAAAGAATTGCATGTTTATAGGTTTGCAAGTGGTTGTGGCATGACAGGAGTGCAAGAGATGACTGGAGAGGGAGGCAGAGTTCTGAGTGTCCATTCCAGAGTGTATCTGTGTTCAGTGGGAGCACTGAAGGTGCTTAGCCAGAGGCTGGCACTAGTGGTAATGCAGACCTGAGCTGGGGCATTCAGGGTGGGGCTGGGGAGGGCACATGAACCAAGAGACACTTAGGGGAAGACTTCCTGAGGAAGCAGAGCCTTGGATTCTCAGCTCTGGAGTCTTCTCTGCTGATGGAAGCAGGTAGGAAGAGCAGTAACCATGCCCTCTTTTCTCACTTCCTCTCCCCAGACTGTTCTTCGGATTGTGGTGCTCGGGATCTGGGATTACATTGAAAACAAGATAGAGGTAAAGATCAGTGTCCCTCGCACCCCCCGACCCAGCCATCCTGGAAGCTGGAAACTATCACTGTCCTGTCCGTCCCAGGGTGGGAGCCATCAACAAAGGCCAGCTCCCTCCCACACTGGACACACGAGTCTGTCCAGCTGTGCCTTTGGGTGGGTGGGGAGGGGAGACAACTTAGAAAGTTTCCAGTGAAAGAATATGGTCTAAAATATCTTCTTGAAGTTCTGCAAAATTTAAAAAGTTATTCTTGAATCATTTTGGAAAACTTCTGAAATGCGTTTGGAAACAAATCTACTCTTTAAAATGGCCCCGTGGTCGGAGAACAAAGTGAGGGAACCCTAGAAGTGCTTCTCAGCCTGGGTTTCTGCTGAGCAAACCAGTTGCTCTGTTTCATGTGAAAAGGGGGTGAGGTATGATGGGAGGAGATGGGGTGCTGGGGAGGCTGGCTGTCCTTCGAGTTTGGGGCACACAGGACAAGGCAAGGTCAGTGTCTGCTGCCCACTCCTTCCTTACCACCACCCCCTCCCCTCCACCAACACACACGTTTTAGCCTCTTTGGGTCAAATGCTGGGAGCAGACTTAGAGGCCTGGCCTGTGGAAGTCTCAGACCAAGGCCACGCTGGAACAGGCTGATGGCAAGGCAGGGCCCAGAGCTGAAGCTTAGGGTCCCCTCCTCTCCAAACTCTGCCTCCAGGCAGAGTGAGAGACTCAGCACCAGCCCTGGATGAAGAAGATGCAGGCTCTGGGCTTCCCAAGGGGAGGGGGCCTTCCTTCAGCCCCTGCTGCCACTGAGAGGTTCAGAGAGGCCAGCACAGGAACCCTGCAACGTGGAGGCAAGCCTGTCCCAAGAAGAGGCAAGATGCTGGAGGCAGATGCTTGAAAAAGAAGCTTGGAATAGCCCAAAGCAGGCTGAACCAAGGCTGGCGATGGACTGAGGTCACTTGGAGGACAGTGCTCAGGAGCATGCCCAGCAGAGAGAGGCCCCTAAAGACCAGGGAGGATCAGGAGAGGTAGCCAGGGATGGGGGGTGACCTTCAGAAGGGGCTGCAGGGCGTCATTGGCCAGTGCCAGCTGCCTTGCCTGACCTGGTCACTGGTTCCAGGACATTTAGGAAGGTGGCCCAGGGTGCTGACATCCACCTCCTCTCACAGGTGTTTGACGGGGCAGTGATCATCCTGTCCTTGGCCCCGATGGTGGCGTCCACTGTGGCCAATGGGCCCCGGAGCCCCTGGGATGCCATCAGCCTCATCATTATGTTCCGGATCTGGCGGGTGAAGAGGGTGATTGATGGTGAGTGACCTGAAGGGGGTGAGCTGGAGGCAGGAAGGGCGGCACGGCCTCTGGGTTCTCACCCTTGTCAGGGCAGCTTTTCCTCGGTTCCCACCCCCACGTCCCACCCTGCGAAAACTGTGGGGCTTGACATCTGCTAAGGGAGCCCCTAATCCAGGGTCCTCCTCAAACCAGGATGTGATCGGGTCCAGCTTCGGAAGATCCACCCTGGGAAGGTGCTGGTGGATCGTCTCGTCCATCCTATCCTTTCACAAGTGGGAAGGCTCAGGCCCCGAGGGAGGAGGGTCACACAGCAAAGCAGCCTTGAGCCACAAGTGGAGACAGGACGCCCGAGGCCTCCCCGTGCTCTCTTAGCCGTTCAGCCTCCCCCATCCGCACAGGCTCTGCTCTCAGCTCAGTCCCTGAGAACATCCGCTCCCTCCAGGGCACGAACAGCGCCTTCTGGCTCCTCTCTGCCAGCTGTGGACAGCTGGATACCCTCACACCGATGCATCCTGACAGCCCCCGTTGTGAATGCTCTTCCCAGCTGTTCCCCTTTGTCCTGACACGTCAGGCGTTGCGGAGCCACTGGGGGCATCATGATAGGGACGGGCTGTGTGAACGGATGGGGGTTGGTTTGCCACTCTCACCCTGGGTGTGAACTGGCTTCGGCAGAGACCCCGGGGACAGCGGGCCCGCTTGGGGCAGCCTCTGGGGCCTGGAGACAGGTCTCAGGGACTCATGGGCTGTCCTCGAGTTTGGAAGCAAACAGAAAAATTCTGATTTCTCTCGTCTGCATGATTCCTACAGCAGCCAGAGAACAGCTGGAGGTTGGGAGGCTGTGGGTGGAAAGGAACTTGGAGGGTTGAGACGTGGAGAGTTCTAGAACATAGTGGCAAAAGAGGCATGTGACTGAGGTTTCTGAAGGGTCTGGAAGGGCTGGTTCTGAGAGGTGTGAGAAGAGTGTGAGAGGCAGAGGCCAAGGTCAGGTCAAGAGTTGATCCTGAGGCTTCCCAAGAGCCAAGAGAACTGCCAGAGGAGGGGTCCGTGGGGCTGCCGCTGGCTGGGAACTCTCCAGGTTCTCCAACCCAGAGTCCAGGGTCTCTCCTCTGGGTCTCAATGTGTTTCATTTATAAGTAGGATTGACTGTGAGTAAGTAGATTCAGAATAGCAGTGACTTAAAATCGAAGCCTATTCCTCTCACAGGAAAGCCTGCAGATAGGCAGTCCAGGATCGTAAGGAGCATCCATAGTCGTGGTCCCTGGTTCCTCCTGTTTTGCTGCTTTGCTGCACATAGCCTACTTTCCAAAGTCACCCCCATGGCCTAAGATGGCTGCTTCCTGCCTGCTATCACATCCTCATTTCAGCCAATAGAAAGAAGGAAGAAAGGAATAAGATAAAGAGTCTAAAGGAAAGCCCCATCTGTCTTTTCTTTTTATACATCTTTACTCAGATACAGTTACATACCATAAGACTCACCCACTTAAAATGCACAACTCAATGGTTTTTAGTACATTCATAGAATTGTGGAAACATCACCAAAATTTAAGTTTGGAACACTTGAAAAATCACTTCAAAAAGAAACCCATTAGCTTCACTCCCCATTCCCCTCCAGCCTTAAGCAATTACTAATCTACTTTCCATTTCTATAGATTTGTTTCTTCTGAGCATTTCATTTAAATGAAATCATATGATATGTAGTCTGTTGTATCTGCCTTCTTTCACTTAATGTTTTCAAGATTGATCCATGCTGTAGCATGTGTACACATGTGCTAAGTTGCTTCAGTCATGTCTGACTCTTTTGTGGCCCCGTGGACTATAGCCCACCAGGCTCCTCTGTCCATGGGATTCTCCAGGCAAGAATACTGAAGTGGGTTGCCATTTCCTTCTCCAGGGGATCTTCCTGACCCAGGGATCAAACCCACATCTCTTTTGTTTCCTGCATTAGCAGGTGGGTTCTTTACCACTAGCACCACCTGGGAAGCCCAACCATGCATCGGGACGTCATTCCTTTTTCTTGTGAAATGGTGACTGCAGCCATGAAATTAAAAGATGCTTGCTCCTTGGAAGAAAAGCTATGACCAACCTAGACAGCATATTAAAAATCAGAGACATTACTTTGCCAACAAAAGTCTGTCTAGTCAAAGCTATGGTTTTTCCAGTAGTCATGAATGGATGTGAAAGCTGGACTATAAAGAAAGCTGAGTGCTTGAAAGAATTGATGCTTTTGAACTGTGGTGTTGGAGAAGACTCTTGAGAGTCCCTTGGACTGCAAGGAGATCCAACCAGTCAATCCTAAAGGAAATCAGTCCTGAATATTCTTTGGAAGGACTGATGCTGAAGCTAAAACTCCAATACTTTGGCTACCTGATGCAAAGAACTGACTCATTGGAAAAGACCCTAATGCTGGGAAAGATTGAGGGCAAGAGGAGAAGGGGACGACAGGGGATAAGATGGTTGGATGCCATCAGTGACTCGAAGAACATGAGTTTGAGTAAGCTCCAGGAGTTGGTGATGTACAGGGAAGCCTGGCGTGCTACAGTCCATGGGGTTGCAAAGAGTCGGACACGCTGAGCAACTGAACTGAACTGAAGTGTTCCATTGCATAGATATACCACATTTTATTTATCCATCTGTCAGCTGATGGACATTTAGGTTGCTTCCACTTTGGGCTGCTATGAACACTTACATTCAAGTCTTTGTGTGGACGTTTGTTTTCATTTTTCTTAGATTCCTAGGAATGGAATTACTGGGCCATGTGGTCACTCTTTGTTGAATATTTTGAAGAACTGCTGTTTTCCAGAGCAGCTGCCCCGTTTTACATTCCCACCAGCAGTGTGGGAAGGTTCTAATATCTCCACTTCCTCATCAACCCCAGCTGCCTTTTAAGAAAGGCTTCTGGAAGCTGCTTCATGACACCTGCGCTTATATCCCGTTGTCCAGCATGTAGTCTCATGGCTGCTCACAGCTGCAAAGGAGACTGGAAAATATAGTCCTCATACCAGGCAGCCATGCACATAGCCGGAATTACAGAAAATCCCATGGACAGAGGAGCCTGGTGGGCTGCAGTCCATGGGGTTGTGAAGAGTCAGACGCAACTGAGCGACTGAGCACATATGCAGAATGTCACTATGCAAAAGGAGGAAAATGAGTATCTCGGTCACAATGGCTTAGGGTTCTAGCTCTCTTATACTTTCTGGGTGCTGTTGGTACCTAGGTACCACACCTGCCACTGCACTGCTAGATCTTCTGGGAACCACACCTGGGCCTGAACCTGCTGCTGGCTGGACGCTGGGGACTGGCCCTTGCCCTCCCAACCCTGCCACTGCCAAGCTCTTCATGGGGCTGTCTCTGTCTTGCAGCCTACGTCCTGCCGGTGAAGGTGGAGATGGAGATGGTCATCCAGCAGTATGAGAAGGCCAAGGCCATCCAAGACGAGCAGCTGGAGAGACTGACGCAGATCTGTCAGGAGCAAGGGGTAATGCATGGCCACTCTCAGTTCTGCCCGGGCCCATCCTAGGCTGAGAACACTAGTGGTGCCTAAAGCTCCCCAAGGTGTCAGAGCTGCAGGGGCCCTGTGGTCAGCGAGCTCCTCCGGCCCCTTCACAGACACATGGGGAGCCCAAGGCCCAGAGTCAGGAGACGTGTCTCTAAGGTCACTTGTGCCCAGCCAGGCCTGGACTCAGCCCCAATTCCCAGGCCAGGCTTCTTTTCATCTTGCTGTGGTGACCAGTTAGCTCTCTCCAGCCTGAACCGGCTGAGTCACCCTCTCAGTTATCAGGGTTTTCTGGGCACCGTGGTCTCTGAAAGGGAAGGGGAGTCAGATTCTGTGTGCAGAGCTTGCCGGGCATCATGGTGGGCCAGTTGCCACCCAGGACCCCCAGACCCACCAGAGAGGCATCAGCAGTGCCCTCCTCCCTCTGGGAACCAAGGAAAAGACTCAGAGACAGGGAGGGGCCCTGTGAGGCTGTGCTGAGGCGGGTGGGTGGGGCGGGGATGGGCAGCTGGGCCCGGAAGAGGGTCTGTCTAGGAATCCAGGCCTCACTCAAGGCCCATCTCTCCCCCTCCACCCCCTGTCCTCTGCATGACTAACCAGAGGTAGTTTGGCCTTCACCCTGATGAGAGAGAGGAAATCTGGAGTGTTAGCAGCAGCAACAGGGGGATCTGCTCAGGTTTAAATTTTATTTTTTAATTTGTCTGTGCCTGATCTTAGTCGTGGCATGCGGGATCTAGTTCCCTGACCAGGAATCAAGCCCGGGTCCCCTGCATTGGGAGCAGAATCCTAACCACTGGGTCACCAGGGAAGTCCCCAGATTTGAATTTTTGATGGATCTTTCTTGCCACCCTTGGAGGACGAATGGGAGAGGCAGGAGTGGAGATGGGAATGAAGCCTGGAAGAGGCTGTAGAACCACCAAGGGAAGCAGGCTCTGGGGTCAGGGAGATGACACCTCGAGCCTCATCCAGGACCTGGCCAGAGTGTGGTCAGGCAGCTCCCAGTCTGCTGTCTGATAGGAAAACGAATGCTCTGCTCAGCCACACTTGGCCACATGAAAGCCCTGCATCTGCTCTTCATAAATGCATGGCCTCCCAGGCCGCAGAGAGCAAGCTGGCCCCGCGAGCCTCACGTTAAAAGCCCATGTGCCGCGTGGCTGAGGGGAAGCTCTGGCTGCAGCCTACCTCCCCTGCTTTCCACCACGACCCCGTCCTGAGCCCCCAGGGACCCCACATTCCTGCTGTCCTGGTTCACATCACCCGCTCCATGTGGCCTCCTTCCCGGGGGTCTGGGCCGGAGGGAGACTCCCTTGGACTCCGCGCAGGAAAGAGCCCATAAATAAAGACAGATTCCCTCTAGGTAGTGACATCTGGAAAAGAGATGAACAGAAACAAACCATTTTAATTTAAAAAACACCTGAAGCCTGTCATCTGAGTTAAGACAGCAAAAAAGGGCCAGACGGGCTGGAATCCCAGGGGGCTGCCAGGAGGGCGGGAGGGGCTGGCCAGAGCCTAGGCTGGGTTCTTCGCTCTCCCAGAGCTCAGCCCTGCCCGCTTCACAGGGTGGAGCAGACAGACACTTCATTTTCAACTGGATTGTAAGACCAGGCTTGAGACTTGATTGGGCAACAAATGCCCTTAAAGAAATGTGAGTGCTGGCTCATGGGATGTCAGGGGTGGCCAGATCCTTTGAGAGGAAAGTGCTTGGAATAGTTAAGTTTTTACGGACAGACCTGAGTGCAAAGCCATCTTGGTTTTGGACACCAGTGAAACCCCTGTGGACCTTGGTTTTCCTAATCTGAAAAATGGGGCTAGTAATAAAAATCCTGGAAGGATGGCTGTGGGATTGTTTAGCCTAAAGCCCGGCACCTGACAAATAGTGACTCTATGGGAACTAATCCCTATTTCCCCCCACACACCCATTTTACAGGTAAGAAAATTGAGGAGTGGTGACTTGCCCAAGAGCACACAGCTAAGTGAGGGCTTTTAGAGCCAGGAGTAGATCCAGGTGTCCTAACCAAATGCCCTTCTTTCCCAGCCCAGACTTTGCTTAGGGTCTTGTTCCATGACATTTTCCTACCCAGGTCACTCCTCAGGGTTTGGTGAAAACCTTGATCAGGTTGGGCACCAGGGTGTCTTTAAATCACGGCCTGAGGACACCCCTTCTTTTGTGGGCACAGACCCGGCTCCCCTCAGCCCCCTCAACAGCTTCCAAAGAGTCTCTCGCTGCTGCTCCCCCCAACCCCACCCCATCCCAGGTCATTCTGTTCATCTTGGTCGCAAACTCTCTCTCTCTCCCGGCTGGAATTCTTAGGGTTCAATGAAGCAATTTCCAAACTAAATTTGTGTATTCTACCTAAGAAACTGAAATGTATCCAAGGTTCCAGTGAAATGTGTGGCATCACTTTGCATTCACCTTGCTCTCTCCCTGGCATGTATTTGCATAACCATTTGCCAGCTCTTATTTTTCAGAACAGTTTTAGACTTATAAGAAAATTGTGACAGTATCACAGAGTTCCCATATGTGCTCTACCCCATTTCCCTATTGTTAACATCTTACCTTAACATCATGCTTTTGTCACAATCAATGCACCAACATTCATACGTTGTTATCAAGGTCCGCACATTGTTCAGATTCAGTTTTTATCGAATGTCCTTGATCTGTTCCAGGATCCCATCCAGGATACCATATGACAATGAGTCATCGTGTCTCCTGGGGCTCCCCTTGGCTCTGAAAGTCCCTCAGACCTCTCTTGTTTGTGGGGGCCTGGACAGTTTGGGAGAGTTGGTCAGGCGTTTTATAGCGTGTCTCTCTGTTGGGTTTTGACTCGTGTCTTTCTCATGATCTGACTGGAGTTCTGGGAGTTTGGAAGGGAGACCGCAGAGATCCGGTGCCATTCTCATCCCATCCTATCAAAGGTGATACTGTCACTCTGACATCACCGTGGGTGTTCACCCTGAGCACCTGGCTGAGGCCGGGTGTGTCAGCTCTCTCACCGGTCAAGTGACTCTTTTTAAAGTTCATCGTCGCGTTTTAAGAAAGCTTAAGTTGCTTCTCACGGTGACCCTGTGGAGATGCTGGGTGACACGGTTTGCCAGTTTCTTGCAGGAACAGCTTGTATGTTTTCTCTTCTGTGCCGTGTGGCAGCCCATTTCTTACCACGTGGCCACACCCCAGGTGGCCCGGAACCTCCTTGTGTTGTAGACGAGGGGCCCCTGGATTTGGCAGGTAGGGGAGTCTGAGGCCAGTGGGGGATGAGGATGGAAGAGGGTGTCTTATGGCTCATTCCGGTCCTTTCCCCCTGGACCACACTGGCCCTCTGGTCTTCCCAGGGAGACAGGATTCAGTGCTGCCCTCAGTCCCACATCTTTCCTGGCCTCTGAGCTTACCTCACCCTTAGCAGATTCCTACGAGGAGTCCAGAGGGGCCAAACCAGGGCGAGAAACAGGGGTGCACTCTGTGGCTGGCCTCACCTTCCTCCAGCCCTGGCTGGCCTTCTGCAGTTTTCCTCCAGACGGCTCATTACTGTGACGGAAGCATGTCCCCTCAGCCCCTTGCATTCAACAGTCTTTTGGCTGGAAGGTCATTCCCATTTACTTTTCTTTTGCTCTCTCTGTGGATTCTGCTCTCTGCCTGTATATCCACCCAGAACTTTGCTAGGCATCCATCTGCACACCAATCTGTACACCAGTGGATTCCAGAGGAGGGGTGCCAGTGACCGTCCTTCAGAGAGATGGTGTGCACTTTTTGTCCTTCTCTGTAAACGGCTGCTTCAGAAATCAAAGGTATTTTTGAAGCAGGGGTTAAATCAGTGCAATGATATATTCTTCCTATTCGTCATATGAAACCACCTCTGAGGTTTTAGTGCATCTCTGCCCGGCCCCTTGCTCTAATTCAGAAAACATATTTTGAAGTCCCCATTGTACCTGCTGTTTGTGCTCTAAGCCTTGCAACAACCGTTGGCCCCCAGTAATATGATCCAACTCAGAGCCCTGTGGAAGTTTGTTTCTCTTCCCTTCTGGGCCCTGTGGGACTAAGTTCTACTTCCTCAGCACCATCCGCCCTGAGATCAGTGGCAAGAGACCTAAGGAGTGGGGCTCAGTCTTGGGTGACTTGGGGCCCCAGCCTGCAAGGCAGCCAGTGGAACTCAGTGAGCCCCTTAGGACAGCCTCAGACCTGCGGCAAGCGGCAGGCTCCGAAAGAAGAGTTCTGAATGAGGGCAGCTTGCGGGGTGGGGGACCATCCTCTCTCCCAGGGAGTCAGCAAGAGGAATTCTGACCTCAGCTACATGGATCACTCCCTTCACCCCTGGATCTCAGGATCCTCACTGGAGAAATGGATGAAACAAGGCTTATATCACAAGGATGCTGTGAAGTTCAGATTAATTCAAGTAGTATAGAAAGTCTGGTCCACTGAAGTCTCTCAGTAAATGAGAGAGAGAGAGAGAGAGAATAAAAACAATACTAAATCATTTATATAATGGTGACTGTTTACAAATGCACTGCCACATGTTTTAGCTCATCTTGACTTTGATGGTCAGAGTTGGCAGGCTTGGTATTATTAATCCTTTTATAGATGGAAAGACTGAGGCTGAGAGAGACGGCAGCTCGCCCAGGGTCTCACTGTTTGTCATGGAAGGAAGGGCCGGGATGGAACTCCAGGCTCCGTATGCATTTTCCTACACCACAAATAGGGCATCTGTACAAGTCTGTTAGAATGAGTAACAGCATCTGCTCCATCACACAGACCCGGACATCCAGCGGCCTAACACAGGAGGAGCGTACTTGTCCCCCACCCCCCACTGCAGCCCAGAGCGGGGTGGGGGTACGGGGACACTGTGTCACAGTCTGGCCTCCAGGCTCTTCCATGTCATGGCTGCTGCTTATTCTGAGTGTCGGGAGTCTTCTCCTTTCAGCCAGGGGTTAAGAAAGGGAGGGTAGAGAACTGTGCATAGATGATCTTTACTGCCTGGGCCTAAAAGCGG